CAACCTGGGTTCAATCCTTGGAAACTACATTGTTTAAGGAGAGAACTGACTCTCTTAGTTGTCCTCTGCTCTCATACCAGCATGCGTGTACGCACACACACAAATAAATAAAATGCAAAAAGAAATTAAATACATAACTCAAAATAATGGAATAGCTTACTAAAGTAGAACAAAATAACACTGTCTAAATTTATGTAATGGTGAGATATTAAAAAAATCAAAACAAGTTTATAAATTTCCAGAAGAAAGTCTGTTTTTTGTTTTTGTTTTTTTTTAATAAATAAATGCAAACAACCTTTACTTTTTTTTCTACTTAAAAGATCACATTCTCTCCTGGCCATCTTCTGTTTTTTCTCTTTCAATGTTTTCAGTATTTTCTAAGTTTTAAAAATAAGTGTGTAGCCGGGCGGTGATGACGCACACCTTTAGTCCCAGCACTCAGGAGGCAGAGGCAGGCGGATCTCTGTGAGTTCGAGGCCAACTTGGTCTACAGAATGAGATCCAGGACAGGCACCAAAACTACACAGAGAAACCCTGTCTCAAAAACAAAACAAAACAAAACAAAACAAAACAAAACAAAACAAAACAAAACAAAACAAAAGTGCTATGAAATCAATATGGCAGTTTCTCAGAAAATCGGGAATCGATCTACCTTAAGACCCAGCTCTATCACTCCTGAGCATATACACAAAGGACACTCCATCCTATCACAAGGACACTTGCTCAACTACGTTCATAGCAGCTTTATTCATAATCGCCAGAAACTGGAAACAACCTAGATGTCCCTGAACTGAATAATGGATAAAGAAAATGTCATACATGTACACAATGGAGTGTTACTCAGCTATTAAAAACAGTGACATCATGACATCTGCAGGCAAATGGATGGAACTTGAGAGGCTAACAAGGAGGGCTGAAGGGGGGATGCAAGGATCTCGTTAGGAAGGGGAAATAGAACAGATTTCATGGGTGGACTGAGGGTAGGTGGGGTTAGGAACAGGAGTGATCAAGTGTGTGTTGGGGGGGGGCAATAAATACCTGAGGAAATGACTAGAGTTGGGGGCCATTTCAGGGGTGAGGTGGAAACCTAGTGTAATGGAAACTCAATGGAATCTATGAGAGCAATGCTAGCAAAGTCTCCTAGCAATGGAGGACATGGAGCCTGAACTGCCATCTTCTGTAACCACGCAAGGCCTCAGTGGAGGGACTGGGACACCAACCGAGCTATAAAACCTTTGACCTACAGCTTGTCCTGCCTACAGAGTGTTCTGGGACTAGAGGGGCCTAGCAGAAACAAAGAGACCAGAGAGACTTCGTCCAGCAACTGATGGGAGCAGATACAGAGTTCCACAGTCAAAATCAGGCATAGCTCAGGAAGTCCTGTGGAGGATGGGGAGGAAAGATTGGAGGAACCAGAGGGGCCAGGGACACCAGAGAACATGGCCCACAGAATCAACTGAGTGAGACTCAAGGGGGCTTGCAGCAATCAGAGCTCCTGTAGAGGTCTGATCTAGGTCCTCTGCATATATCTTACAGCCAAGTAGCCTGGTGTTCTTGTAGGATTCCTAACAATGGGAGCAGGGGTGGTTGCTGACTCTTTTGCCTACTTATGGGACCCTTTTCCTCCTACTGGGTTGCCTCATCCAGTCTTGATGTGATGTGCTTGGTTTTATAGCAGCTTTTTATGCTGTGATTAGATGATGTCCCTGAGAGGACTGCTCTTTTCTGAGGTGAGACAGAGAAAGAGTAGATCTGGAGGAGAGGAGAGGGTGTGTGTGTGTGTGTGTGTGTGTGTGTGTGTGTGTGTGTGTGTGTATGGGGG